CAGCTGGCGCGCAGATAGAAGCAGGCGTCAGGGCAAGCGTCAGGCCCCAGGCCCCTAGCCCCAGCCTGCAAAAAAGCAGCCTGCAAAGATAACGGCGCTAGAGAGCAAAAATGGTAGCACTACCCAGCCTGTAAACCATGTCTCCAATGTACACCAAAGACACCCCATTCATCCACTAAATGGCTTAAGCTGCTAAAACTATAAACTTGAGAATGAGCAACAATTGCCCAGCACCGATTTAGCCTCGCAGTCAATTGTTTATTTCACGGCAAAATTAGATAAATTAATATTAAAAGCACACCCTGGTCTTAATAAGTATACCACTATACTCTCAATAGATTTATATGTTTTGCTGCTTATGATGATAGACCAGGAAGTGAATGGCTCTACGTGCCGGAACTGGGCAACCCTGTCTACTTGACTTACAGGATTATTACCCTCACCTATATCTGACCTTAACCGATGACATTTAGGCGGCCACCACGTTAATAAGCTACGGCTATAAGATGTTCGTATTATAATTAGTGGTATTTAGATTAGCCTTTATATCTTTTAAAATTATCGTAGTCATGATGCTTAGCTAAATGATGTTAGAAAGCCGGTAGTGTGTGAAATATAGCTTTTTTCTCTACGCATTACGGAGCCGGACACTGCATAAAGCGTTCACTAATATTCTTTAGATGCTGCGAAAGAAGATAATTTCTTAAATAATAAGGGAAGTAGAATTTGCGAAATCTTTAATTTAGTATAATGCCCTTATCCCAGAAACACATAAAACATTAGTTTTTTTTACACTTCTATAGTCTACGTGGAGCGCTAAGGTTTAGTGCCGACTTAGGCGCTCGTGCTTCCTTCTATATACTAAGTAATAACATAGCATAAGTGGTGTATAGCCTATGTTATAGCCGTGTAGGACTATCTAGCATACTCGTATCGGCGATAATTAGCTCCGCAAGCATTTGACGCTTAGTTAAACTATAATTAGTTTATGGCTGCTAGTCTCTAGCATCTAAGTTGGCATTATTACGTAGCTATGTATTTATTTTGGTTATACTAATTATATTAAAAATTCTTTTCGCGTAGCGGTTTTAGTAAGTTTTCGTAAGTACGCTTGAGTTAATCGTACCTTACTTTCCATAGTTTGGTATATTTAATATAACTTAGTTCCTGTAGATTCGGCGCTTTTAATAGTTCCAGATTCTCGGCGCACCTCCGAGCTTAAAGAATCTCGCAGCTTAATTAACTTGGCCAGCGTTGTATCCGTCTCGATTTCTTTTAACTTTATGGTGCTCGCCTGTGTTGGTGCTCGAGGATCGACAGAACGGCTCATGTGGCCTGCTGCTTTCAGCAAAGTCTTATTGGAGGGTCGACTAAGGAGTTCGAAATGGTATTGATGAAGACAACACCTCACCTCGTGTGTGGGTGAAGGCCGAGGTCTGGCTCTACGAACCGCCTATGCCAGTGACATAATAGCAAGGGGAACCAATCGAGGACTAA